AAAAAAAAAAAAAAGGAAAAAGACAGGTGGAAGAGAAATTAACAAAATAATCTTGATTCCAGACATGTATTATTATTATTATTATTATTATTGTTTTGTCAAATTTTATAATGATGATTGATACCATTATTGAGTTATTGACTTATTGTCTTATTTTCTACCAACACTCTTATTAAAGTAAAATAATTTTCCAGAAGCAAATACAAAAAGGTCAAAAAGAACAATTCAGAGCTGCACTCCACTTTTGCAGGACATCCATACACACACATACACACACACTTGCTAGTTGCTAGTTACCAAACACAAACAAACAACTAAAGAATAATAGCTATTGAAAAACCACAATGTATGTGAAGATAACATGATCAGTTCTATATAGATATATGTTGTAACTTGTAAGCAGGTGTATACTACATTCAATTATATATTATGTATGCATCTCTGTAACCTAATCCCCAAAAATTTCATGACTTGAAAGAATTTCAATACTCATACCTCATTCATCACAACACCCCCAACCTCAAATCCCCGTTTGTATCGAAAAAAATATCGCGAAAAGAATGAATTTCATGACTGCAGCCTTTGCTCATTCTTCCAAGAATTCTTGGCAGACTCAGCTGATGAACCATCTGAATCATCATTCTTCTTCTCATCCTTTTTCGGCTTCGAGAAAAACAGGTCCCACTCGTGTGGCCTGATTGGTTCACCTTCATCCAGCAATGCATACTTCCAGCTAAGCTCCTCCATAAACCCCTCGTCTTTACGCCCCTCGACTAAATCCTTCCTCAATCTCGTCACCTTATCGATCACACCCTCAACAGCCACATCAAAAGCGTCCTTAAAAGTCTCTAGCTTAGATCGAGGGTCAGCGTATATCAACCTCGGGATCAGATTTATAACCATCTCCCTCATCTTATTCACGTTATCAACCGAAATTTCACTCAGTCTCTGCTCGATACTAATAGTCCTACGTACATCGTTCTCCGGTATGAAAACCGAGTACAGCGAATAATTCTTCGGCAAGTGCCACGTGTACTGTGTGTAGGCAGATGCCGGGTGGAAAAAGACCGGTATGCACCCCGCCAGCATGGCGTCGAAAGCCGAGCGCCTCGTGTACGAGTCGCCCTGAGGCTGCAAGCAAAAAATCGAGCTCTGAAACATCTGCATTATACTACTCGGAGAGTGGCATTTGTTGTTGTCCCTAAGATCACACTCCAACAATTTGCAAACGCTCGATTTCTTGCACTGCTCGATTAATTCCCCTCTTATCGATTTCGGGTTTCCCGGTCGAGGGGCGCCCGCGAAGCAGAAAAGATTCTTTCGCTTGAGCCTCCTCATTCTGTCCTGCCACACAAGCACGTCTTTATCCCTCGCGGGATGAAAGTAAGTCGGGTAAGGAATCCCGTAATCGTTCGCATTCCACGGGCTCGACTCGACCACCAGCATCGACATGTTTTTCGCAGCGGGCAACAAAAGAAGCTTATTCCCCCAATCCGAATCCCGCTCGGATAACCTCCTGAAATCCCACGTGATGCGGCCCGCCACAAGGAAATGGTCCCTACCGCCCATGATGCCCCACTCGGGTCGTTTCGAGAGCCAGTCGACCAAATCTCGAGAGGCGGCATCGCGGGCCGAGACATTGTGGCCCCATAAGTATCGGGCCACGTCGAAGCCCGCATAGAAAGGGACGAAAATAGCGGCGGCTAGAGACGAGTCGTTCGTGAGGCACTCGTATTGCCTCATCCTGCTGTTGAATATAAGGTCGACTGCGAATTGGTTAGTGGCGTACCAGCCCGTGTTCGAGAAAACGCCGTCCTGGTTGTCGAGTGGCGGGCCCAGCCCGGAATTGGTGGTGAATTTGCACATGTTGGTCCAGAGGCTGAGGGCCCGGCACTCGCGGAGCATGTCCTCGTTGAATTTGGGCGGAAGGGCGTGAACATAAATGTACCGGCCACCGCACGGGTCGCTTTTGTTGTCCACTGTTCTCAGAGCTCTCATGAACGGGTAGTGCACGGGTTCGGGTTTTACCTCTTTCTTCGGGTTATGTTGGTTCGTCGGGTTCTCGGGTCGGGTTTGGGGCTTATTCTGGTCGACCCGAGATTCGGCTTTGAGATTGGAGTTGTTTTTGGGATTGGAATCGGATCCCGGGTCGAGGGAAATGGGCGGGTCGAATTGAGGCGAACTGCCGACGATCGGAACAACACCACCACCGCCGAACGCCGATAAATGGAAATACAGCAGACAGAACCAAAAGAAAGCCGATAGCGAGGCTAACAAACAAAGGCGCGAATGGTGATTTTTAGATTGCCCTTTCTCCATTGTTCCCGCCTGGCGGCGTTTCATCAAATTTTTCACAAACAGCCAAATTAACCACACGAGAGTCTAAAAAAAAAAACTGACAAAAAAATGGGGGCACAATCGAATCAAATCAAAAACGGGAACGACTAGCTACGAACTGCAAATTAAGCACAGAGTATAAAATACAGCTCAATCGGCTAAGCAGAACAAAAAAAAAGGATAATGAAAAAAAAACCAGAGAGAACTCACCGGAGAAAACCCACTGGTTTGAGGCGCCGGTGGCCGGAAATTAAGCCGATCGCCGCTGATTTTTTGGATCTAAACCGGAATTTCAGCAAACGAGGTCAGAAAAAAAGTTTCTGCTGAATTACTATTTATAATAATTATATATTGCAACAATTTTCTACGCTTGAGTGACGTATGATTAGAGTTTACAGTTGCTCACAATGATTTGGTCTAGAGAGAGAAAATGTGAGAGTGATAGAGAGAGAGAGAGAGAATGCAAAAAATAACACGTCTTCTCCTTTCTTTCTATATACTGTGGCGTTGCAAAGAAGGTTATGGAAGGAGGTGCGTAGTTTAGTGTGGAGGGTTAGCGGCGCAGGTTAGAGGGTTGTACCAGGAATTCAATCTCCCAATTTGTCGGTCGGGCACGTTCGCACAGGACACGTGGTGAGATTGTGTGTTTCTGGCCGAGGTGGTCCTTTATTTGTGGGCCCGGGCCCAATAAAGTACCAGATTTTATTATGTTTGTTTGTTTTTTTTTTTTTTAATTTTAAAATAAAGAAATAAAATATTACATGTTTTTATTAAAAAGATAATAATATTCATGTTATTTTACTGTCAATTGTGATAAACCAATATGTTATATTTTTATATTAGGTTAATTATAGTTTTTACACTTTTTTTATTTTATATTCATTTACATTTAAAAGTTATCTTATTTTTTTCTAAAAAGCAACTATTTTTTTTTTTTCATCTTTTAATCTTGACTTTGCAAACTAAACCAAAACTTTTCGACAAATCGGCGGATGGAAGTAACTTTTATTGAATTAGATTTGATTTATTGAATTAATTGAGTTAAAAGATTGAAAAAAAATGATTTATTGAATATTAAATTGATTTTGAGTCTATAAGTGGAGATAAGCTACATTCAAATAACATGTTCGTGTTCATTCGTTTAGTAATCGAACAAAATTTTTGTTCGTGTTTGTTCGCTTATTGGTTTGACATGTTCGTGTCCATTTGTTTATAGTCGAAATTGTTCGTGAACTGTTCGAAGTTTTTGACAAGTTCGTGTTCGTGTTTGTTGATTTTTTTTTTAATATCATACAAGTTAATTATTTAATATTTAATATATATCTATATTTATATATTATATTATATAAGAATATACTAAATATAATATATAATTATATGTTTTTTTCGGTCGCAGACGCTCGATTAGTGTATGAACTTATTCGAATTTGAATCGATTACTAAACAAACAAACTATTCTCAAACTCGAACAAATACGAACGAGTTTTGTTCACGAACAATTCATGTAGATAATAGTCCTAGTTAAATTTAATTAATTAGATAAATAGTTTTAGCAAGACATAACCAAAAACAAAAATTATTTCAAATGGCGGCCGTCGGTGCAGTGAGGTCCAATATAGCTGTGTGCAGCCGTTTACATGTGATAATCTCCCTGTTTTAAATTAAATCTTGTCTAATTAATTGACCGTTTACCGGACACGCATGATCGGATTATTATTAAAAATAAATAAATTAATTATACAAGTAAAGCGACAAATTGGTTATTTGAATCAGTAATCGTTTTTATATATAATTTTCCGATGAACTTAAGTGGCAGACTCGAATGTCTCAAAAATTAACATTGACTATTAAGCTAAGAAATTACCACAAACAATTTTATGTTCTTTTTTTTTTTTGCGAAAAAAATTAAGTTACAATGTAGTCATACACTACTCTAACATTTCATTATTTAATTCACTAGTTTGTTCTCGGCTGTGCATAGCATAGCCGGGCCCAATTTAGATTAAAAAATTAGTTTAATTAAGAATTACGTGAGTACTATATAAGTCGTACAATAATGTTCACCTACCCACGGTAGGTACATGTTAATATGTTTACCGCTTATGCATGCACACATTGGTGATGTTTATATGTTCAAAAGAATACATCACCAATGTGTGCATGTCACATAAGCGGTGGGCATATTAAATGTGCTCACCGTAGGTAGGGGAGCATTACTCATAAGTGGTAACTGTTTGTATTTAACTGAAAGAATAGGAAAAAAATCTTATATGGTTGGAAACTAATAGTGCGTGTGAGAAGAGAATTCAATCTAACGAGTTAGGAAAGATTCTAGAATGTAGAATAAAAAGAACAACTATATTGACGGAATAAATATGATTTTGCAAAGAGTGCAAGATTTTCAAAAAGATTGGATAAAACAACGCATGTACAGGTTTGTTTTCTCATCCATAGAAGTGAAGCGACTAATGCATTTCAATTAGTTAGCACACCATATGTTTTGTGCTACAATATAATTTTACATTGTACCGCAGTGGAAAGAAAAATAAAAAAAATAAAATCAAACAATCCATGTTAAAGAAGAACAATTTGAATACGTAAAAGTAAAGAATATGAATCAAATTTTAAAAGAGGCCGATAAGCCAACATTACATCTGTGGAAATGATAAGTGGACATTATATCAAAATAATATAATTTTTAATTTTATTATTTAATTTAAATCATATTTAACTATAATATATTTAACTTGAATGATATAACTTTATAATTATAACTCAATGTAAATAATATTTAAAATCACTATCAACACTCCAACTCAATTATTGTCATAATTAACCATGTAATTGAACTCTAATCATGTTCTATGCTATGATGTAAACGTGTGCAGATGATTGAGTTTAATTTTTTTACATAAATTTTTGTACATATGTATCATTATTTTATTTGTTCTTATAATATATAACGAATATTTTTTCTCATAATAATATATAACAAAAAGTACGATAATCGCAACCATTTCTAAAAAATGAGACAATACTAAACTTTAACTTTAACATAATGTCAAATTTCTTAGCCCAGTCCAAAGTAGATGTTCGACAATGCTAAATTTAATTACAACATAATTTATTTTTTTTTTGGTTCTTAACACACTGTAGGTTAGTGTTAAATTAGAATAAACAAATAAAATCATTTATTTATTCAAAAAAAAAAAAGGATTAAAACAAGTGCCCATATTGCAGTCACAGTCAATGTTACGGTAGCAGTAGGGTGCATTAATGTAAATTCAGAACTGTACATACACAAGAATTGTCCATCTCTATTATCAAAAGGTAAGATAACGGCAATTGACAGTTTACAATTACGAAAGTATCGTATAAATTGTAAAAACAAATGGAGGAAAGGAGCATTCATTGCAACTTATATCAAAATCAGGAACAACTGTAACAAGATTAATTTTAAGGGTTAATTAAAAATTTATAAGGAATTTCAGCATTATATCCATCAGACAACGGCTACAAAAAAGGACAACCTTCTCCATCCACTCTTTCCAGTAACAGATAAAAGATAAGCCCTAAATACCCACCAGTAAGAGTGAAGTTTAACCCAAGTAGTTCAATTACAAGCATATAGTGCTGAAAAGGAGGCAAGTTAGCCATGGAACATGCATACTAACAAGAAACATGACTCCTCTGCAATGTCCAGTTCATGGACTTAGTTTGTTGCTCTTCTCCTGATAAACAGCAAGGGTTGAGAATGTGAAGAATAAGTTTGGCAAAATACTATATTTAACATAACGAATAACAAATTCAGGGTAAATTTAATGGCGGTCGAGTTAAACCATGCAAATAGGCGCGTGAAGATCACATCAAAAACTTCAACTCGACGTATAACGCCAAACTAACTGCAAGAAATTCGTAACCGGACTTGAACGCTATAGGTTTATCGATTCGGGTGTCTCAATAACTATTTTGTGAATCACAGTTTAACTGTTTGATCCATAACTACTAAAATTCGAGAGGTTTGATAACATGTAACGATATTCATTATATAACAACTTTATAGAACAGTCAAATTCATTGTTAGTCAAGAGTTCCCAACTTACTGGCTTTAGAAGCACATCTTCGGACTCCTCTATAGTTGGTTCAGAAATAAAGGATAGTTATCCAAAAATATCAGTCATATTGTCGTAAACCAATAAAAATATAGTAAAAGTAGTTATATACAAAAAATTACCAAATGCTTCAAGAAAATGTTGGCCCTCTGCTGGCAGTTTTAGTTAATCGACAATTATGTAGGTAAAAATATATTTGAAAACGTGTACATAGAACACCATCAAATTAACTAATTTACAACTTGTCTAACGAAAATAATTAAACATTGCAGACGAAATGTGAAGTCGATACAAATATTTTAGAGAAAAATGAATAAAGAAGGAGTGAGAGGAGCCATGACAAGATGCAAGGCAAAAATTTGAAATATGTAATCCGAAGATGGACAAAGGCAGTTGTCTTACATATTACTGTTATTTTTCAATTACGGATCTGAATAAGCAAAACATAGCTGCTTAAAAGTTTTGAGTACAGATAATAGTAAATTTATTACTGCTGAAAATGAGTGAAATATCCCTATGCAAATGGCATGAGCATGCATACAGACATCCCACGCTTCAAAGTCAATGTGTTATAGATGAACATATATCTCGTAAAATAGTTCTAACCAGTTGTGACTTCAACACAAGGAATCTCAAAGTTTTCAGGATGACCAGACGTCTTGCTTTCTCATTTACTGAAATTCTTCAAGTTCTCTTCATATAGAAGCACATACTTCTCAACTAAGAAACGATGTGCACTAACATTTCCACCTTCACGACCACTTCAACAAAACGATATTATCTTTTAAAAACGTAAAGATCATTTGGGATTTCAATTTCAGGAAATTGCAAATTATTCACATATTTGACAGTTTTTCATTGCATGAATTA